ACCCAGGGGTCGAACCCCGAGTCTCTTACGTCTCCTGCATTGACAGGGCGGGTTCTTCACTATTACTGCCCCCTGGGAAGCCCGTGATGGACTTGGAGATGTTCTTCTTATTCAGGAGAGGTGCTTCTGGGCTGTGTTCTGAAAAAACTGCACCAGCAGCTCACAGAGATAATCCTTCTCAGAGTGTGCCCCCTGGTGCTGGACACCGTGGAATGGCACGTGTTTCTGCAGTGGCCCCGATTCTGTGAGCCAAACTGGAAAACAGTGTCAGGGCCAGCATCTAAGAATAGACGGACTCGGGAATCAGAAGCTCAAGCCTGGCCCCGTATCAGGTGGAAGCCGGACGATACACTGGTGTCAGAGAAGAAGATAAATTCATGACTGAGAATTAAGGAGCAGTGAGGCGGGGAAGATGGGCTGCTCTCCTTCAGGGTATGGCTTGTCATTTGGTCGCTCAGTCGTGCCCGACTCTTTGCGACCCCATGGACTGAAGCACGCCGGGCCTCCCTGTCCATCACCAACTCCCAGAGTCCACCCAAACTCGGTCCCTCGAGTCAGTGATGCCATCCAACCATCTCATCCTCTGTGGTCCCCTTCTCCTCCTGCCCCCAATCTTTCCCAGCATCAGGGTCTTTTCCAGTGAGTCAGCTCTTTGCATCAGGTGGCCAAAGGGTTGGAGCTTCAGCATCAGTCCTTCCAGTGAATAATCAGGGCTCATTTCCTCTAATCAAGGCTGTGGTAGACGCAGTCAGGGATTGAGTATGTGACTGTGTGTCTGAGGAGACTGTTGCTGGGTCAGAGCTCACTCTGCTTGGTGAATCAGAGATGAGGTGTTGAGGCGAGGAATCCAACTTTACTCAGACAGCAGACCCATCAAGAGGATGGCAGGGTAATGTCTCGGGGTAGCCATCTCACTGGGGCTCTGGGTGCCAGGTTCTTTTATGGATGAGAAGAAAGGGGGAGGTGAGGAAACCAAGGTAAAAGGCCATCGGTCTTGCCAATGTCTCCTGGAATGGCAAGCCTAGGGCGGGGGGCGGGGGTGTGAATTTCTTCCTTCCTACCATCCCCAGGTGTACAGGGCTTTGAACAAAGGTGCTTTAGGTAGTTTAAGGGCCAGGCAGAGGGGCAGGATGCTCCGAGGCAGGCCGATTTTAAGAACAAAAAGCAACGAAAAGCAGGGAATGGACTTGGGAGACGCGAGATGCAGCAAGAAGTCAGGCTTTCATGGTGGTCTTTGCAAGATCAGCTGCCTGGTGGGAGGCAACCCATAGTCGTTACAACAGGGGGTTTTTAATCCTCTCGCCTCCTGTAGTTTTTTATTGAGATGCCACAGGGTTAGCATTCTTCCCGAGAGCGTCACCTGGAATTTTTTTTTTTTTTTTTTACTCTCCCTGCGCCCTTCTTCTCATCTTTATGTTTTGAATTTACCAACAGAATGAAAATCCTCGGCATTTCATTCTCTCCCTCTGTCTGGCTTTTCCTGCCCATGGATCCTAAAAGTCTGTTGCATCCGCAGGCTGTCCCTCTAGGCTGGTTGTCCCTGAAAACGGACCCCTTGATGTTTTTTGGTTTCATTTGATAACGGTGGCTGATACTGTGTTCTCCAACGAGGAGGTGCCTCAGGGCTGCATGCACAAGAGCGTAGCGTTCTGGGCTCTGACCTCGGTGAGGAGGATGTGCGAGGCTCCATCAGGGGGGCCAGCCGGCCCGCAGAGGTGACCCCTGAGGTCCGGGGGCCGGGGGGGGTCTAGCATTGAGATGCACTGCTGGGAGCCGAGGTTTCTCCTCCTGACTTAGCGCTGAAGTCCCCTCCCGGAGAAGAAGCCAGGGTCTAGAAGAGACGGACACGATCCCTAAACAGGCACGGACAACAGAGGTGGGCTGGGCTGCCCCTTCCGGGTGCCCAGCGTGGGTGGGTGGGCGGGTGCGTGGGGCACGGTTAGTGTGAGGTATAGTTCGGGCCGAGGCAGAAAAGAAGGAGAGACGACCTCAACGGAGGAAGGTGACCTTTATTCGGGCAGGGAGGGGCGACAGTCGGCCTGATGACCAGGCTGAGCACGAGAGGGATCAGGGACGCCTCATGTTTAAAGGGAGGTTTGTGGAAGCGATAAGGGAAACAGTAGTCAGGCGGGACGTTTTGGGTACTCTTTAGTTGAGATGGCATTTGTCGTTGAACAGGGGGCGGGAGGGTTCTGGGCCCGGGGTGATAAGTCCCAGGTAGAGGCAAGCAGCCCGGAGCATCAGGGCAGGCCTAAAGTTGGGTTTGGTTTTCCCTGAACTGAGATGACTCAGCAGGGCCTTTGAGACCCTTGTTTTCTTTTCTAGACTCAAGGACTCCATCAGTTAGGAGTGAGTTGCTTCAGCTGCAGGGCCTCCCTCTGCCCAAGGCTTTGTCTCTGCTGGGGTGACCGGCATCTAAAGAGCACTTGAGGTGGGGGGAGACACAGCCCTGCCACGCCAGCCAGCCTGACACAGTACGACTCTCAAAGGCTCTCTGCTCCCCACTTCCCTCCCTCGGGCTGGGCCAGAGCTGTCTGTTCAGCCCTCCCCATCAACCCCCGACTCCTGGGTCTTCTCCCTCCCTTCCACCCGTGTTGATAGGAGAAGTCTTTTGGATGCTCGTATTTTTTTTTTTTTCAATTGTCAATTGGATAGACAAAATATCTGTGTTTACATCTAACATCTTGACACTTTAATTCTTAATTTCTTACTCCCCACCCCTTTCAGAATGGAGCCATGCTTACTCAGAATATACTAGATTTGTGGAATTATTATTTGTACCATAAATAGAATATTGGGATAAACCTATAGCTTTAGATAAACTGGTATCCTGGTGGCTCAGATAGTTAAGAATCAGCCTGCAACGCCGGGTGCTATCCCTGGGTCGGGAAGATCCCCTGGAGAAGGAAATAGCAACCTACTCCAGTACTCTTGCCCTGGAGAATCCTGTGGACAGAGGAGCCTGGTAGGCCACAGTCCATAGGGTCACAAACAGTGGGATACTAACACTTTCACTTTCTTTTTATTTTAAAGCAAAAGCACATATGCAGAAATACACTATGATGAATACAATGTGATGTCTTTTAATTTGTTCTCCGACTGTGGGATTCATTTCATCATTGCAAAATGAAGAGACATGGCATGTAGTGGTAAACTTTAGTTTGTATTTTTTTTTTTTTTTTGCTTTAAAGGAGATTTGTATCTGTCTATTATATATGGTTGGCAAACAGCTTCCCTTTGTGGAAATTTTTTATCATGTGGTTTAATATTTTCTTCTGGAGAAGAAACTAAAGATTTATTTTTGCCCATTGTTTGTAATCTGAACTAATGCTCCAAACATAGTGTGATTTCAGAATGAAATATCCTAGCAGACTTTTACCTGTCTGTTACTTTACTCAGTAACCAAATGCAACACAGAAATTGAGATGGCTGAAAATGTTGCCTCTGAAATAAAGGACATTACTTGTTCCTGCAGGGGGCACTGTGCTATAGTGAAAAAACCCCATCTCTGCTTGGATAGCTAGGCTTTGCCCTACCCTCTGGTTCTAAGCTTAATACCAGGCTTCTTAACTTAATTAAAAAATGTTATTTTCCCTACTGTGGCAACAGGCGTGTTTGTTTGTGGAAATTATACTAGCAACTGATCTCAGTTCTTTATTAAAAATGGATACATGTATATGTATGGCAGAGTCCCTTCTCTGTATTCACCTTGAAACACTCACAAAATTGTTAATTAACTCTATACCCCAATACAAAAGAAAAAATTTATAATAAAAATAAAAAGCAAGTTTTCTGGAAAACAATATAGGAATAGCATGATTGTCACAAATGTGATGGTTAGATAGAGTTTTAATTTTCTATAATGTTGTCTGTCTCCATTTATTAAACGTCTCAGTTCAGTTCAGTTGTGTCTGACTCTTTGTGACCCCGTGGACTGCAGCACGCCAGGGCTCCCTGTCCATCTCCAACTCCCGGAGTTTACTCAAACTCATGTCCATTGAGTCAGTGATACCATCCAACCATCTCATCCTCTGTCGTCCCCTTCTCCTCCTGCCTTCAATCTTTCCCAGCATCAGGCTGTTTTCAAATTAACTGTTTATACTTTGAAAAAAAAAATATGTATATATAGTTTGAACTTAGAACATCGGTTTCTTAGTTTTAGCGTATATTTTTTAAAAAGGCAACCAAATGGTAAAATGCTGTTTCAGCTTGCTGCGATTCATCTGTTATGATTTTTACAAAGTTAGTGAGTCACGTGCAATGTCCGTAGATTGCTGGTCTCTAGCAGAATATGCTGGAGAGGGCACCTTGGTTCTTGTGTGGTTCCCAGGGAGCCGATCCAGTCCCCCCGCCATGTGTCAGAAAAGCCCCATTAGGGCTTTTCTGCCATCTGCTGGAAGACTCAACGTCTTGGCAAGTGGTTCCCTCTGTAGCACCTCACAGGACGGAGGAACTTAATCCTACGCCTGAAGCCTTGGAGTCTGTCCCTCTGGCAAGACCGAAGTGGGAATATTGTTACCGGCTTGAATTTCCACTTCAAGAGAAAAAGAAGACTGCTTGTCCTTTTCAGCCTCCCGTGCTGAGATTCAAATGCAGATCTGACTTGGCCTGCCTGCCCGACCACAGAGGAGGGATGAACACTTAGAATGCTGAGGTTCCGAGAACTGGGCGGAGGCCCTCATTTTATCTCCTTTTATCATTTTTTTCCCATTTAATCTCATTTTCTCTCTCTCTCTCTCTCTCTCTTTTTTTTTCCAGACCTGCCTCAATATATAGAACCCACGGTTCCCTGGTGGCTCACTAAAAGAATCAGCCTGCAATGCAGGAGACCTGGGTTTTCATCTCTGGGTCGGGAAGGTCCCCCGGAGGCAGGGCATGGCAACCCACTCCAGTATTCTTGCCTGGAGAACCCCCTGGACAGAGGAGCCTGGCGGGCTACAGTCCACGGGGTCACAAAAAGCCAGACACGACTGAGCCGGTAAAGAACTGTCTGTGTGAGGATGTCTCATGGACGCCCTCTGCAAGCCAGCCTGGGAGTCGGGCATGGTGTTGGCTTTGCAGTCGAGGCTGGTCTGGCCTCTCACCTCTGTATAAAGCCTCCATCTGCCTCCTGGTCCCCGTCGTACGTGCCTCGGTCTCTGTGCTGGGCTGCCGGCTCTCTCGTGCAGCCCCTCCCGGGGCTAACTTCCATCAGGACACATCACCCCGAGCCTTCACGTGTCCAGGCTGTGTTTGCGTTGTACCGTCTCTCCTCAGCTCGCCCTCTCCTGCAGTGTCGTCTGGACACATGGACTCTGAATGTAACATCGGGCGCATCCAGCATTCGTGCCCGGAGAATCGCACGGACAGAGGAGCCGGGCGTGCTGCAGTCCACGGGGCCGTAAAGAGTCGGACACCACTGCGCTACTAACACGACACAAGACAAGTATCCCCTGAGCCTGGCTAGGGCCAGATCTTTTTTTGTTTGTTTGTTTTATTCACTTTTTAATTTTTGGCTGGGTCCTGGGTGCCGTCCACAGGCTTCCTCTAGTTTCAGCGAGTAGGGGCTGTCCTCTGGTTGTGGTGAGCAGGCTTCCGATGGCAGAGGCTTCTTTTGTTGGGGAGCCCAGGTTTCCGCAGTTGTGGTTCTCAGGCCCTAGAGGGTGAGTCTCAGTAGTTGTGGCTCAACACGGGCATTACCAGCCCCCAGGCATGTGGGATCTTCCCAGACCAGGGATCAGGCCAGTGTCCCCTGCATTACAAGGCAGACTGTCAACCACTGGAGCACCAGGGAAGCCCGCTTTGACGTCCCTAATCTTGGCACAGTAGACGTTTACAAGCCAGTCCTTGGCGTGGAATGCTCCGCAGTTTACCTGGTATTTCCTCCTAAACCTGTGTGGGCTGCCCGTCTTTGCCGGAAGGGCAGCACAGAAGTAATGCTCTGTTCTTTTCCTCGTATTCAGTCGTAGACCATAGTGTTTTGAGCGTTCCCATAGCTGCTGACGATTGGACGAAAGTGAAGTGAAGTGAAAGTCGCTTAGTCGTGTCGGACTCTTTGCGACCTCATGGACTGTACAGTCCATGGGATTCTCCAGGCCAGAATACTGGATTGGGTAGCTTTTTTCCCTTATCCAAGGGATCTTCCCGACCCAGGGATCGAACCCAGGTCTTCCGCATTGCAGGCGGATTCTTTACCAGCTGAGCCACCAGGAAAGCCTTAGAATCCTGGAGTGGGTAGCCTATCCCTTCTCCAGCAGATCTTCCCGACCCAGGAATGCAGCCAGGGTATCCTACATTGCAGGCGGATTCTTTACCAGCTGAGCTAAGATGGTCCTCAATTTTAACACTTGAATTTTTAAAGAAGGTGGTCTCTTTCCTTGATGCTAGTTCAGCCGGCAACCAAGATTAGAGTCTGTAATGAAATCGTGCTATGCGAGTTGTGGAGATGAGAAACATCAGCTCTTTCCTTTGACAAGTACCCTAATATCTAGAAGGCAGAATGAGTTTGCTTACTCATTTGTCACGTACTCTTCACCTTTAATCTTGTCCGTGTGGCTTATTAAAAGAAACCGAACAGAGGTTGAACATTTCCGATTTAATTTCACTTAAGGTTTGAATCTTTTTTTTTTTTCCTGGAAAATTCATCAAACTGAGATGTTTTTGGAGTAAGAACTTCCTAAGTGCTCCTTTAGGAAAATAGGAAATCATAATTTGGAAAAGGGGATTTAAAGAATTTTACTTTCCAGAAGACTACTCCCTACCCCATGTCTAGTTTACTTGTATTTCTGTACAGACCCTCAGAATACATAATAAGTATTTAATTTAAAGAGTGTATTTCCTCGTGCCTTAGACCGTATTTATCGAGAAAAGGTAAATGCTTAAAGTAAACCGTGGTTTCCCGCCTTTAGAATTATGATCATTTTGGCTAGATAATTGTGTTTTTTAAATTTACTTTTTATTGGATTTCAGTTGCTTTACAGATGAAATGTTAGTTTCTGCTGTGTTGCTTTCTGCTGTAGAGAAGAGTGAGTCGGCGATGTGTACACAAATATCCGCTCTTTTCCTATTTCCTTCCCATTGAGGTCAACCCCACGCCCAGTGTGAGCTACACAGTGCCAGCCTTCTCATTAGTTACCTATTTTATGTGTGTGTGTGTGTGTGTGTGTGTGTGCTCACTTTTGTCTCACTCTGCAACCCCATGGACTGTAGCCCACCAGGCTCCTCGGTCCGTGGATTCCCAGGCAGGAATACTGAAGTGGCTTACCATTTCCTACTCCTAGGGATCTTCCTGGACCAGGGATCTGTTTTCCACAGAGTATCAATAGCGTGTATGTGTCAGTCCCATCTCCCATTTCATCCTGTCACCGTCCCTCCCCACCGTGGCATCCATACGGTTGCTCACTACAATCTGTGTCTCCATTTCTTCGACTGTGTGTCTGTAGTGGGTCAGGTCTGTGAATTACAGGCCATTGAGCAGCTTGCCTGGCCTCTGCCCACTAGATCCAGAGGTTCCTCCCAGTTCTGAAAACCAGAAATATCTCCAAATATTGCAGATGTCCCTTTCTGGGTAACAGAAGCATGGACAGAAAAACTTGCCTCTGCTCCAGGGCTCCTGACGCAGATCATAGATTTGTTATGTAATTTTTAAACTTTGTCATTTAGGAACTATAGGTGGAAATACAGAGTTATAATTCAAACTTTTATTCAAGTAGAATTTTCAGCATTTCCGTTACTAAGTGTAGGGAATTTTAAGTATAAGTTTCAAGAAGAAAGTAGACCAGATAAGGTTAAAGTTTAAGGACTTCTAGAGATATATCTTTGCAATAAAATATCAATATATATTAAACTGTAAAATCAATATATAAAATATTAAAATGAATATATATTAAAATTCATGTGTGTTCTCAAGGTGTGTTCAGTTGCTCAGTTATGTCTGACTCTCTGCAATCCCATGGACTGTAGCCCACCAGGCTCCTCTGTCCATGGGATTCTCCAGGCAAGAATACTGGAGGGGGTATCCATGCCCTACTCCAGGGGATCTTCCTGATCCAGGGATTGAACTCATGTCTGCCCGCATTTCCTGTATTGTAGGCAGATTCCCTACCCACTGCAGCATTAAAATTAATGTATGTTAAAATATCAACATATATTAAAACATTGCAATTTTAAGTATTTCTGGAGATACATTTTTGCCCCATAATGTACATTAAAATAGGTGCTGTGGGGATGACGTTTATTTTTTGCTAAAGTTCATCAGCGGTTTAGACAACAAATCCACCTTTTTCACGTCGGTTACGCCAGTTACGGTTTCCCTGACTACACTTTGACAGAATTTCTTGTCACACAGGAGGACGACTTCTCTGCGGTCTCCGGACTGGCTGTGTGCTGGTGGTGACCGCGGAGGAAGCACAGTGCCCATTCCCGACGAGAGAACTCGGGTGGGAATGTTTTTCTCCGGGGCGCTTCGCCGTCAAATCGAGACCTGCTGTAATTACTTTTCGGTGGTGCCAGGTTTTCATTCTTTTTCGGTCGTTTTCTGCCAGATTGCCACTGGGAGGAGTGAACTCCAAGCAACTGCACATAATTTGAAGTGGGTGTGTTGTTCGCGACAGAAATCCTCTTGGCAGATGCAATATTTTTCACTACGTTCAGTGCGTGCCTTAGCAAGGAATGAACAAATACTTTCCTGTCGTATCTCCTGAGTCCTTGGACAGGTCAGAAACGAAGCTTGAATAGCCACAGGTGCTCAGAGAGGAATGCAGAACTATGTCTGATGTGTTGTCCGCCCATTATGCAAGTATTTGCTTTATTGCAGCTATTGAAATACCTTCACAAATATTTTCTGGCAAAGCGAGCATTTATTTTGGAAACATTTCCTTGGCTTTGAAGGTTGCTCTTACTCAATTGTTTGCTCAATAGAGGGGAAAAAAAATATGGGAAGTGCTTTTCAAGTTCGTTTTCACCTATGGGTCTTCTAGGCCCCTGGGGTCAGGCCAGCGTTAAAATGGTTCAGGAATCAAAGAAACACGCAAGGAAGTGAGAAAAAGCTAATCTGCTGGCTAGCTGGCTACAGGAAGATGACCACTTGGTAGAGACTTAAGAATTAAAAAAAAAAAACAAGAAAACACAAGAACGCCAAAGATGAAAACAGGAGAAAAACTCAGGCAGATATGAGACTAATGGAAATTAGCAACAGAAGCAGCTTCACGGGGACAAGGAATTTCACTTTGTTCTAAGGTTCTTGGTGTTCAGGGTTCCTTTCTTAGGTGTCAGAGGGTGATCGTGGAAGCTGAGTAGGTAAAAAGTATGAGGCAGGCTTTGGGTGGACTGACTGTAACGTTCCGCTGAAACGGGATTTATGAACGAAGGAGAATACATGTGTGGACTGGGAAAAAAAAAATGCACGACGTGAGAATCGTGAGTGAAGTTTTATTGGAGGCAAAATGAGGATGAAGGCCTGGGATACAGCCTCTCAGGTAGCTCTGAGGAGCTGCTCCGGAGAGGGCGGGCCCAGGTCACTGTGTATCTTGGCAGAGCGTGGTTTTGGTGAAGGGGGATTTGTGCAATGAAACACACATGTTTGGCAGAAGGTGGTCGCTGGTCACAGAGGGTCGCTGCTAGTTGCAAGGAGCTGCTGACTCATCAGTGATTTTAGGGCCTTTCTAGATATGAGACGATGCAAGAAACTGGGCACATTAAACCTTTTCCTAGCGACTTCCCTGGCGGTACAGTGGTTAAGACTCTGCGCTTCCGCAGCAGGGGACATGCGTTCTGTCCCTGGTTGGAAAACTAAGGTCCTGTATGCTACACAGCCAAAATAAATAAAAACTAAAAACAAAGCTTCCTTATAGAAACCAGGTAGCCACTGAAAAATCTATTTGCCGAGTGGCAAGTGGAGATGCAAACATAGAAAACAGAGTTACGGACAAAGATGGGGGTAAAGGGAAACTGTTAGTCACTCAGTTGTGTCCAACTCTTTGTGAACCCGAGGACTGTAGCCCACCAGGCTCCTCTGTCCACGGGATTCTCCAGGCAGGAATCCTGGCGTGGGTTGCCACTTCCTAAAGAGGGAGAGGGTGAGATAAACAGAGAGAGCAGCATGGATGCATATGCCCTAATATATGTAAATAGATAGCCAATGGGAATTTGCTCTCTGACTCAGGAACTGAAACTGGGGCTCTGTAATAATTCTGACTCTAATTAGAATTCTAATTCTTTGTGCATGCTAAGTCCCTTCAGTCGTGTCCGACTCTTAGCGACCGCGTGGACTGTAGCCCACCAGGCTCCTCTGTCCACGGGATTCTCCAGGCAGGAATACTGGAGTGGGTTGCCCTTTCCTTCTCCACTAATTCTCTGTAATAATCTGTAATAATTCCCACCCTAGAGGGGTGGGAATGGGCGGGAGGTGGGAGGGAGACTCAAGAGGGAGGAGACGTATGTACACCCATGGTTAATTCATGTTGATGTATGACGGAAATCAAACCAATATTGTAAAGCAATCAGCAATCAATTAAAAATAAATGCATTTTAAAAATATTAAATAAATAATGATACTTATTATTAATATTAATTAAATATTAAATCAATTAAATTAATTTCACCTTAATAATATTTAATAAAAACTATTAAATAAATAGTTAACAGGACAAAAGTTAAAAAAAAAGAAACTAGATAGCCCAGCCCAGTCCCCAACATGTTTAAAAAAAAAGAAAAACTTTTCCGGAAAATATCTAACTATCTGCAGACCTGTTCTGCCAGTCTTTCCAGAGTGCAGATGGCTCAAGTCCTCACCTCCACCCTGAACTCCTTTCAGGGGGCATGGAAGGTCAGCGACTGAAGTGGCCAGTGTCTTCATCCTAGCAGAAGCAGACGACAAGGGCCAAGTTTTGGTTGGCAGGCCTAAAGACAAGAGCACAATCGGCTTGTTTGTTTGTTTTTAACATTTATTTATTAATTTGGCTGTGCGAGGTCTTTGCTGTAACATGCAGGATATTTAGTTGCAGCACGTGGGGTCTAGTTCCCTGACCAGGGATGGAACCCAGGCCACCTGCGTTGGGAGCTTGGGGTGTTAGCCACTGGACTGCCAGGGACATCCCCCAAATCAGTTTAATCATGGGATCCCATGGGATGTCTTGGGTAAAAGGGAAGAAATGGTGATTCAGCGGATGCTATCAGTCCAGACTTGGTGAGCTGAGGTGAGCCGACTCATTGGAAAAGACCCTGATGCTGGGAAAGACTGAAGGCGGGAGGAGAAGGGGACGACAGAGGATGAGATGGCTGGATGGCATCACTTACTCAGTGGACATGAGTCTGAGCAAACGCTGGGAGATGGTGAAGGACAGGAAAGCCTGCCGTGCTGCAGTCTATGGGGTTGCAGAGAATCGGACACGACTGAGCCATTGAACAGTAGTGACCAGCTCACGCTGGAACAGTAGTGACCAGCTCACTCTTATTTCTTTGATCCTGAGGAGGGACGATCCTTTGATGGGTAATAACCAAGTAGCACCTCATAAACAACAATGGGCACGATCATTTTATGTCTCCCTTGTGCATTTCTGGAAGCTTTCAGCAGTGCCTTATGCATGGAAAGTGCTCAATGAAAGTACACCCAAATGATCTGATTTAGGTTAAAGTTGCTGTCTCTAAAGTTCATAGTAGAGTGACAGTTTGGGCTACGAGAGCCCCAGGCGGCATCTGTCATCCTGCAGGTAAGCATTCCTAATAAAGTTTAAACGCTGGAGGCATTTGCCTTCATTCCGAGCCTTCTGTGAGGGCTCATTTGAGGGTCCGGAGAAGCTGAGAAGTCTTGTCAACACCACATCAGCGGGGACACACATGAGCTCCTTCCGCCCTGAAATGTTACCTGCGGCCACGATCGCCCCTGAATAGGACCTTTTGAAACCCAGGCTTCGAGCTACCCAATACAGCATCGATACCATCAGAGCTTATGATCGAATTTCCCTCCCCCCAGAACTGACCCCCTGAGGCCAGTCATAACAGCAGCAGCCTGTTTCTTGAATGAATGAGAACAGGTTCGTTCATCAGAGGTGCTGAGTGCCTTTTGCAAGAACACAAAACGCTAATGCTTTCAATTGCATTTAACTTCTCTAATGTGATGATTGAATGTTCTGGCCATTCTGACATACAGAAGTATTCACTTGTGTGTTGTGACACTTCAGATTTAAAGCGTGTATCGTTGTTTAATGCCATTTCACATTAAATAAGTGAAATAGATCAGCGCAACAGTTTATATCTAAGTTTTCTTTGGCTGAATTTCCTTGAATTCTCGTGAAACATTTCCCACTGAATTTGTTTTTCCGTTCAGTTGCTCACTTGTATCCGACTCTTTGCGACCCCATGGACAGCAGCACGCCAGGCCTCCCTGTCCTTCAATATCTCCAGGAGTTAATTTGTATTAACTTGGATAATAAAAATACAACCTATAGGTACTTCCCTGGAGGTGCAGTGGTTAAGATTTTGCCCTCCAATGCAGGGAATGTGGGTTCGACCCCTGGTCGGGACCTG